AGATAATTTATCTATATTGTTTTTTATATATACACACATCCATATATATTATGTGTATATACATACATATGCTTGGTATACCCTCATTCCTTTCCAGTTCTATTCCTTTATTATATTTGCTTCCACTCATATCAAATGGTAGTCAAATACACACCTTCAAGAAGATAAACTAATTTGACTGTTTAGGTTTCAGTCAGTAAGATAAAGCTATTAAAAAAATGAGGTAATAAGTGAACCAAAGATACTTAAATACTCTCATGTTTTCAAGGCTACAAGTGACATTTCTGTTTCAGTTTGTTGTGGGAAAGCACCCATTCCTCTCACTGCAGGTGTTAAGAATTTCAACCATTATTATAAAGTTATTATTTTAGTTTCTATTTTTGAGTCCAGTCATGCCAAGTGGTACTTATCTTTTGTAACGCAAGTGAGCTGATTGAAGAAACTGAAAACAGATTCCCTTTTAAATTCCATGAAATAAGTGGAAACAGGACTATATCTATCTCAGGTTATCATATTAATATTTCATTTACGGAATCAAAATCTTGCAGGGTGCATTCAAAATCCACATGATGTCTTGAGTGCTAAAGTTTTCAAGAGGATCTGTATATTAGCAAATAAATAGGCAATGTAAGAATACAAGTTTGGCCACAGAGGTAGCAGCTAGTAACACATGAAGACTGAGGCTACTAATAGTAAGAAGAGAAATTGATTTGGCTTTAAAAGGCTTTGAGACAACAGTAGTTTGTTCATCACTGTACCAAAAGAAGAAAAAAATGAAGAGGTGGGGGGAGCTCTCTGATGTGACTGCAACCCTCTAAGATATACAAAATTAAGCTGAGAGGTACGAGGGACCAGATGGCAATTTTCTAAAATAACTGGAGCCTAGCAGAATTCAGGTTACATATTGCCTGCTGCAAATAAATACTGTCTTAAGTATTTGCACTACAGTAACTACTGTATACTTCTACATACCAAAGTAAACAGCATCAACTTCACAATAATCACCCCAAACATTCTCACCAGCCTTTCCCATAAAAAGGCTCGACTTAGTGTCGATATCACAGCACTGAGTAACTGAACCCCGGCTGTTGAAGTAGGTATAACAGACAACAAGATATAACTGGTATAACAGACAAGTTCTGGTATAACAGACAACTTGTAAAAAGATGTAGTGAGCTGAGCAGAGGAGGAATATCCTCCCTACCCACCACGAAGTATACACTTTACACATCCTTGGGGTCAGAGGAAAAATGCCAAGGCTTACCCTCACAACAATCAAAGGCATTTCCACAAAAAAAAAAAAGTGCGGGCATCTGCTGTTGTTAGAAGTACAGTCAGAGGTAGATCAGAGGTACTGCTGAAGGAGGCTGAGCTTACAGAAAAACTGTGCTAAAATCTGTGTTGAGAAGTACGTCAGCTCTTCTATTCTTTTACTGGAACTTCTCTCAGTACCGATTTGTTTTGTTCTCCACCACCTTCATTTCACTGAGAAAGTACTGGTTGATTACTAATAAACAATAGTCAAAACATAAAGGAAGTTTTGTTTCTTGTTTCCGTTACCCCCTCTCTCCTCCCAAAGAGGTAACCATATGCCAGCATAAAAGCATCAGATACCATCTTTTTTACTTTCTTTGGGATTTATCACAAGTGTTCAGTTGTACAGAAGGCAATTTAGCCAATCTGTTCCTTCTGCAATTTACATTGCTATATGGAGAAATCTTTAAGGAAATTTAAAGCTAATGTGCCTTCCATTTTCCTGTTCCTGAAATGCAACATTGTATCCATTTTCCTTCTGTTTTTCACTGTGCCGTTTTCCCCTCTATTGTACATCATCTTCATCACATTCACTCACATTCTTTCCAAACTCTTATTGATTTGTCTTCATTGTTTCTCACCCACAAGCTTTCTCTTTATTCAATCCCTGTACTCCACTTCTCACATTCTTCCTTCCATGTAAACATTTTTCTAAAAATCAGACTTAAAATCCACAGTCTCAGCTGGGTCCACAATATTATGCAGTTCTTCCAAGATCAAACATAAAATGTTCTATGAGTGGGGTTTTCTCACTTTAACAGAGGTATTCCTTCTTAGACTAGATTCATTTCTACGCATTACATTTTGTCTAGCACTCTCCTCTTCAAATGTAACTAAAACATCTTCAAGGTTGACCACTAGCCTCAGACTTGCTAGCAGGTATTTGACATCAATGTTCATTAAATGTTTTGAACCACAGAATTTGCCAAACTGCATTGGCTTGAGCAGTTCACAGGCTTCCGTGGCGATAGCAGAGCTTTCTCCTACAAAGAGTTTCACTGTATCCGTACAAGCCACAGAGCATCTTCCATATGCATTTTCGTTTGCAACTGTCCCAATGTCTGGTGGTCCTGGCACACACACACATATGTCCTTAAACTTCCTGGGATTGCACTAAGGTTTTGGTTGGTTTCTTGTTCTTCCAATCTCTCACCGTAACTTTTGTCCTCTACCACTACCAAACTGCAGGCACTTGTTCATCGCACTCCTTCCAACCAGCCAAGCTTGCTGTGGCCCCAATCCTCTTCTCACTTTACATGCATGCTAGGAATAACAAGATGCTGCTAAAAGAACCACCAATCTTTTCGCCTTCCCAGTAAGCAGTCTAGCACTGGAGAGGTTGCTTCAAAGACTGCCCCTACCTCAACTGTGATCCAGAATTTAGCTGAGCCACCTAAATTTTTCCCAGTTCTGCCAACTGGGTAGAAAAGTGTTGAATTTAGTTTTCAAACATTCAGTAAGAATTCCAATTGGGATCAGGAGCAAGGTCCATGTGCCTTAAATCTTAGTCACCTATTCAATGTTAATACTCCTCAAAAAGAAGCTGTTCTATACATGTTTAGGTAATGCTGACAATAGATGAGGCAGATAAGAGGTAAGTATGAGCTAATAGAGAACAACATCTCATCTCATTTTTGACTCCCCATCTGCCATAAAGCTGCACTTTGATATCTCTGAGGCAAGCGATGATGCAGTTGGAAGGAGGTGAACAGTGCCACATGCCACAGAAACAGTGAGGTGTAACATTTTACAGTATCTAGTAGCACAAGATGAAATAGCTGTTAAATAACAGGCAGTCTCTGCTGAGGGGAAAGCCACAGAACGCCTCCTGCATGGAAAATTGAAAGAGGTGGTCTGAAAGCAAACTTGAAACACCCAGAATCACAGCATTGAAAGCTAGTCCTGTACTCAGATTGACCAAGCAATTTCAGTAAAATCCCAACTTTTTCCTCTCAGGGAGGGAGATCTCAGCTGACATCCAGAAACACAAAATCACCCATGAAGACTGATGTGACTATGTTGAACAAGATCCCTGAAAAATTTTTCCACTGGAAAACCCTGGAGTCACTTCTCGCACATCATGTATCAAAATGGTCCCCTAAGCTTTCTAATACAGTCCGCATCTTATGCATCACAAGTGAGATGAAAACAGTTTCTCAAAGCGTGCAGCCTGACCAGCCTTGCAGCTGACAAGTTTGCAGTGCCACAATGGAAGTGAACTCATTTTTCTCCACCAGTGCATATCCTCAGCCATGGGGTAGAGTACAAAGTGTTAAACCTAGTATCAGATCTATCCAGAAAGCAAGTAGAGAGGAAAGAAATGCAAATTTATCCAGAACTGCTACATCAAAACCGCTGTCCAACCATTTCATGATCAAATAACTACCTTATAAATATATCCATCTGTTTCAAAACCGAAGTAAACACATTTAAATAAATTTTAAAGTGTAAGAAGAGGAGCTTTATTTACCCACTTCCCCTGAGAAGTGACCCCTTCACCAGAAATTGAACTAAAATTGTTATTGTCATCTATCAAGCATTCCTTGTTCTTCAAAGACAAAGCTGCTGTACATAAACGATACAGCTTGTCAACTACATAGCAGCACAGTATTTTAGTAGCTTGCGGGTTTTCTCACACGTTCAAATTTTCCACCTCGCAGCATTAAATTTAATTACATAACAATGAACTTGTGCCCTTATGTAACTTCTTGGCCTGAAGTTACTGCAGCTATCTGCTGGGTGTAATGAAACTTTAAAAATGCTTTTTAAAAGATAGAATGTGTCATATAACAGTATTAGACCTTAGGAAAAAAAGTCTTGAATTTTGCCACATCAGTATAGAAAAGGAAAAAAGAGGGAGAATTTCTGACGAAAGCTGTGCTTGCTGATGCTGCACAAACAACTGGGAACAGCTAACTCATGCATTGTTCAGACAAACAATTCTGCATAATTTTCATTATTTTTCAAGTTTTCCAACTACAGTATCTTAAACAAGAACAAACAGATTGTTTTCCTGAAGCATCTACAGTTAAGTTTCAGATTTAACTTACTTTTTTTTTTTTTTTAAACTCTGCATGGAAAAGAGAAGAAAATGGAAAAAAAGCCTCTTATGTTTTCAACATTTCTTAAAAGCGAAAGTAAGCACAACAAACTTTTACTCTCCTTGACTGACTTTGAAAGATAGAAATGAATACCTTGCATTTCAGTCACATTCACATCTGTATCCATTAGTGGAAAATCAAAAACTTACAGGAATCAGAATGTAACAAGTGACTTTGTTTCTCAGATCCAGTCAAAAAAATCCTTTATCTCATATTGATTACCATGTCATAGTCAGCATAGACCAGAAGAGCAAAGCCTGTAATCGATACAGTAAAGTTTCCAGCAATACAAATAAACCGTTAACTTGAAACAATACTGACCTCTAACCACTTAGCAATTGTATCTCAAAGAGACTTGATTTGACTTTGTGCTGCCATCCAACTGAAAAAAAACTTATGGTGCTTTTAAGCTGTGAATCTTAGAAGTTACTTCCATACTTACGGTTTAATGTAATAAAATTAGTTAGAATTGCTCTAATCTCCAACTAGGGAAAAAATCCTGAAATCTTCTCAGTAAACAAAAATTTGTTCTACACCATTAAGTGCGTTTATGTAGAAAGATAACAATGTCATCTTGATGCTTACCCAATCATTGTGTTTTCTTTAATCTGGCCCTCTGTGCCATTTACCATTGGCTCTTGATTTCTGTTTTCCTTCTCTGAAGCATCACTTGAGAGGCCCAATAAAGCTCGTACTCGTTTTGACTTCACATCCAGTATTGTGTCGGTGTAGCCCACTTCTTGTAGATACCTGTAGGAACAGAACTCATGCTAATCTTCCAAGCACATCTCACTTATTCAAAACAGTAAATTAAAACTTCTCCCTAAACTCATCTTCAACCCCTTAGCATAGCAAAGTATGGTGCTGTACTAATGAAACATGCTTATCAATCACCCTGTACCAGCTGCAGAGGGATCGCCTCTTGCAGTACCAGCCTCTACAGTCACTGAGGGGGGGGGAGGGGAAAAAAAAAAAAAAAAAAAAAAAAAATCAAAGAGCCTAGCAGTCAGAGGTTATACAATACGTTATTCATGCATTTACTAAAATGAATGGAAAAGCACTTTCAATTAAAATATTTACAACTGGCTTATAAAAATCACCACAGTTGCATGTATAACATGGCCATTTTATTCTTCAACACATGGAAACTACACACGAAGCCTTACACGAAGTATCAGATATGTTCCTTATATAAGCATTATTAGAAGCCTAGAAAACAGAGGGAATAAAAACAAATTCTGTAGCTGTAGCTACTAGTAAGAGTTGTTATTTATAACACACTAGGTTCGATAAAATCTTTGTCTTGCCTTTTCCTTATTCTGCAATGGATCTGCAAAACATTAATTTGTCTTGCATATAAGGGCTGGGCAGCAAGAATCCTGGACTAGCTTGTATGAAAACCTCAAGGTCTAAAGTTGGCTCTTTCATCAATATGCCATATTGACTTTGGGGGAAACAGGGGGAAAATAATGATTTTAAAAAAAAAAAAAAAAAAGTAAAAATTGGTCTCTGTCCTTTCCTCTAGGATATGGAGTTAATAGCACTGTCTTCTCAGGACCTGACTGATTAAATGGTCAATATTCTAAAGAGGGGAGATGGTATTTTACAGTAACAGCTGTTACAAATCAAGGACAGCACTTTTCCTGCAAGAACATTCTCCTCCAATTATTTAACAGTATCCTCCACATAACCACATTACAAGAGAAATACTGATTGTTGGCTATATAAAAATCAAAAAAATCACCTATGCAAAACAGAGTCCGTCAGTAATACGCACTCTGTATTCAGCACTGGGTCACTTATTTATGAATTGCACTGAGGAGGAACGACTTGTCTTCAAAATCACTGATCCAAGTCAAGACCATTTTATTTACATCTATTCAACATACATGCAAAGATTTAAGCTCTTGCAAAAGAAAAGTATGTACAAACCATTCAACAGACAAATTTAACTTTTTTATAGTTCCTTGGAAAAAGGTCCTTTAATATAAGCTCCAGACTGTCCCTACTGTCTCTCTTCCCCCTCATTTAATCCTCTGTAACACATCAAAAAAAATTAGAAAGCAAAAGTTTTGCTAGCTGATTAGAAGACCTTAGAATCTAACTATCAGCATAGGGGATGAGGCAAATGCATGAAAAAACAGATAGGGACACTCTGATGAGAGGTCTTTAAGAGACCCCTTCAATTTAAATCAAGGGTGGCACCAAGGCAAAAAAAACCCACACAAAAATGTGACCAAATATCTTGGAAATTAATTAACTCATTATGACCACAATTCAAAAACTAATTTAGATTAACAGACATTTGCTTCATTGAGATGAACTGAGAATTAGAAAATTTCTAGTCTAACCTTCTGGATATTAGTCTTTTCTGCACCTCGAGCAGGCCAAAATAAAAGTTATCCCTCTCTAACACCAGTTATTTTTATTTTACATAGCTCTTAACAGAATTATTTGTGTGTGTTTTTTTAATTGCAAAAAGAATTGCAAAGTGTCATGACCCACTGTTCTCCCAAGCAGATTGTTTTATTATACTCAGTGAAAGAAAAGCAAAGGAGATTAGGTGTTTGTGATTTGACAAGGCTTCTCATCTGAAGTTCTGAAATATTAAATTTTTTCAAAAATCTAGGAAAAGTAGGGCAGAAGCTGAATGAACTTCATCACACACACTAACTCTTCTTGAAAGAAAATCTAACAGAAAAAAAATCAAATACCACCATCATCACATTTCACTACCAGATTCTTTCCCTTGCATTTGTTATTTGAGTCCTTTTTCAACACCTACTGTCTTAGCAGCTGTCGTCCTTGTTTCCATATTAGCTGACTGTTCTGTTGTGGCTGAATCTCTGTCTCATTCCCTTCATCTGGAAAAGATTATTTAATTACAAACATTTTTTTTTCTTGTCTTACTTTTTAAAAACATGCCCACCCACTTGAAAAGACAAATGTGATTTGTCTTAAAATGATTAGGGATTATTCAATAATGAAACAAAAGATTCAAAGTGCCAATAATCAATCGAGAAAGAAAAAAATGCACATAGCACATAACTATAGTACGACATACACATAAAGATATAATTGCTGCTCATTACTTATGTTTGAATACAAACATATTCAACTGCTAACAACATCAAATGCAACTGCAGCATATCTATTCACAACTTACTGTCCAACCAATTTCCTTAATATTTCACCGTTCAACATAAAACCAACAGACCTACTCACATCAACTTTAAATTCATCCATATTGTATTAGTTTTGTGGAAGGAAAAAAAAAAAAACAACAAAAACCAAACCAGGGGTTGTTTGTTTATTTTTTAACCTGAAAAGCTGTTGAAAAATTTTCACCACATTTTCCACAACCATAAATTTGTATCCAAACAGTACTACTCCAGGAAAATCCACAAAAAAATTACGTGGCTGTTCTGGTGAGAAACCTACCTGAATGCTGGCAACCAACAGCTACACATTTATTCCATATATAGCTTCATACTAGATGATGGTGGTGGTTTTTTTCCCCTCCTCAGGAGATATTCTAAGCATATGCTTCCCAAGATAAAAGATCTTGGTTTATTATCCATGAAAGCCTCTACAAAACTTGAAACCCTTGTGGTCCAAATACTGAAGGATGAACAATCTTCTTGTGTAAACAAAAATTAAGAACCAGAAAAACCTGTGGTATAATCCTATGAGTAACTTGATATGTGATGTGGGAAAGCTATTGTCCTGACCAGGAAGTCATTTACCTTTAAACAACTGAATTAAAACCACACACAAAAAAACCACCACCCACCCAAAGAAACTATCAAAGACTAATCAGAATTTACATGCAAGGAGAGCCATATGAATTTTATCCATCCCAAATTCACAGATCCATTTAATAGCAACCATAGGAAATAATCAATTGCACAATGATTTTCTGGCAACAACTGAACACAGCTGGACCCAATGCACAACTACCAAAGCTCAGTCTATAAGAATTAAAACATGACTGAGATAAATCTGCCTGAAAATTCCTTTTGAAAGCAAAAACCCTTCTTCTGAAGGCACTATGAAGTATATCTACAGCCAAGAATTCTCTTTTGCTTAGTCTTCTCAAAACTGATGACCACTAGCAGTAACAGTGGTTTACAGATGAGAATGAAGGGACTTGCATTATAAGCAAATAATAGCAGAAGATATCACAAGCAGTAAAAAAAAAAAAAAGCAAGCATCCCTTTATCAGGAGATTGAACTCCTCCTTCTAAGCTGTATTACTGACTCCCCAAGAGATCATAGAATCATAAAGGTTGGAAAAGACCTCTAAGATCATCGAGTCCAACTGTCAACCCAACACTACCACGCCCACTAAACCATGTCCCTAAGATCATAAAGAAAACAAACAACAAGGACCCATTCGGAAGAACTACTAGAAATGCTTCCACGTTTTCTCCTGACTGGGCAGGAAAAACAGGGGCAGGGGGAAGACACAGACATACAAGTAAGTGTCTATCAAAGACAACTCCAAAGGAGCATGATAACAAAGTTCCTATTTTAAGTATATATCTTTAATCAGTCCAGCTTCAATATAGAACAAATACAGCTACACATATAGAATGCAATGGGATAAATCAGGATAATGGAATTTTAACACAGGTAATTCCACTAACGTTCACTTTGCAGAAGTAATGCACTGGCTACAGCTCTGCTGGGCAAGCCAGGCCTTGCACTACATTCCTCAGCTGGAAACTGGAGCAACATGCTGTAGCTGCATCCTGAGAAATTACAAAAACCAAGGATGTCTAGGATCTTGGTATGATCAGGACAGTTTTCTGGTCGTCCAGATACAGATTGGGGTCTTCCACTTAGTAACACCAAATTAAACTATTTCTTCAGTTGAGGAAATAACCTTGATAATAATGTGAAATAAAATTTCTCAAAAATTCATTGTATCTTGGACAAGAAAAGCCTGGTGTAAAGTTTCACTAGTTGGTGTAGGGTTGGATTTTTTGCTTGTTTGGTTGGTTTTTTTAATGACTTTCTGAATCCAATGAGATAAGAATGAACCATGACAGTAAACCAGACCATCCCTTCCACAAACCAAATGACAGAGCTGAGGTCTGCAGACTTTCTATATTCTTCCTTTACGTACAGGTGGTTCTAGTTCCACTGCTGTAGTAGGAGCAGCATCAGGGGACTGAGATACAAAAATCATTACCTATTGCTTCTCCTTTCAAGGGCCTGACCTATAGCCAGACCTCTGTACCCCTTCTTTTTTTTCCTGAGGAAAGGATAGGGAGATAGAGATGAAAGGAAGTAATTCAAATTCTTAACTCCTCAAGTTCAGTGCTTAGAACTATTTGTGTGAAGTAGGAGATGCAACCTCTAGAAAAACAAATCAGCTTCCCAGAGACCAAGGTGAAAAACTGTCCTCTCACAGCATAGCACTGAAGTTAGTTGTATGCATTTCCAATGATCATTGGAATTTTGAAAATAAATTCCCCAGTCTCAAACTCTCACTTATGTCTAATATGCACTTTCATTATTTTTCTCCTGGAATACCACTGAGGTAATTGAACAAAAAATTATGTACTATGTACTTCATGTCCTTTGCCATTAACTTTTTATTCAGAAGAGTTATTCAAAGATAAAAGGATTCTATAGATATAAATCTAGTATCTTCCTGTTCCAAAACATCCATACACATTCCTACAGAAGAGAAAAATTATTCTCTCCAGGAGCAGTTTGTTGGTTTGGGTTTTCTTAAATCTAAACTCATTTGATTTATTAACAGACTCTTTCAGAGCATTAGCATATATTTTTAATTTTATAAAAGTAAAATACAGTTTTTATTAATTATCTCTATTCCCACTGCTTCCATTAAGTGGCTTATTTTATCAACACTATCATTTCAGCATTTGCACAAACCACAGTAAAGCTTTTATGCCAGTAATGAATTCATTCTTAACAAATTCTTACCAGAATCATAGTTTGGTGGCTTCATATCTCCCTGATTCAATTCTGTGCCATATTTTAATTTGTGATATTTAGCCCTGAAAGGAAAAAAAAGAAAAAAAAAAGAAAAAAAAAGAAAAAGAAACTATTAGCACATTTAAAAAGTATCTCTAAACACATAAATGTCACCTGTCTTCACTTGAAAAGCCTCCTTTCTTCTAGGCTACGAACAAAACAAAACAAATAA